CCCACGCTGTCCTGGGGGAGTAGGGGAGCGTCCCAACTAGGGTGGGAAGATGGAGTTGGTGGTGCATCCCCACCAAGATGCACAAGGAGACCCTCACCATCCTGGGGGAGCATCCCATCTAGGGTGGGAAGATGGACTTGGTGGTGCATCCCCACCAAGATGCACAAGGAGACCCTCACCATCCTGGGGGAGCATCCCGTCTAGGGTGGGAGAATGAAGTTGGGGGGGTGAATGCAGCTCCCCCCGCAACCCCACCATCCCCCTGCCTCAGTTTCCCCCCAGTCCTCCCACTTTGAGACCCACACCATACTGGGGGAGTAGGGGAGCATCCCGTCTAGGGTGGGAAGATGGAGTTGGGGGGCTGAACGCAGCTCCCCCCACAACCCCACCGTCCCCCTGCCTCAGTTTCCCCCCAATCCTCCCACATTGTGACCCACGCATGGCATGTCCAACCCCATTGATGATGTGTCCCCCCCCAATCCTCCCACATTGAGACCCTCGCCGTCCTGGGGGAGTAGGGGAGCATCCCGTCTAGGGTGGGAGGATGAAGTTGGGGGGCTGAATGCAACTCCCCCCACAACCCCACCATCCCCCTGCCTCAGTTTCCCCCCAGTCCTCCCACATTGAGACCCACGCTGTCCTGGGGGAGTAGGGGAGCGTCCCAACTAGGGTGGGAAGATGGAGTTGGTGGTGCATCCCCACCAAGATGCACAAGGAGACCCTCACCATCCTGGGGGAGCATCCCATCTAGGGTGGGAAGATGGAGTTGGGGGGCTGAATGCAGCTCCCCCCCCAACCCCATCATCCCCCTGCCTCAGTTTCCCCACAATCCTCCCACATTGTGACCCACGAATGGCATGTCCCCCCTCACTGATGTCCCCCCTGGCTGATGTCCCCCCCTCTCTGCCCCCAGGGTCCTGCCAGCCCGGGAGGGCGCTGAGCACCACATGAGCGGCAGAACGACATGGCCAGCGACGCCAGGATGGGGGAGACCCCCCCCCAAGGGTGGAGGAGAACCCAGGAGGGGGCAGCTCAGGACGCCCGGGGGATGGAGAGCAGCGGGGTTGGCCTGTCCCGGAGCACGGCCACCGAATTGGGACTCCCGGCCTACCAGGAGCCCGGCAAGCTGAGCTACGGCACGGAGAAGGGGTGTCCCTGGAGGGGCTCCGAGGGATGTTTGGGGACAGGAGGGGGGCTGGCCGGTGGCCGGTTGGGATGTCCTTACCCACCGGCCCCCCCGTGCCTGAGGGACACCCTGTGCCGCCCCAAGGATGGAGCCGAACTCCCCCCGTTGCCCCCCAGGAACGGGCAACCCAAGGCGGGCTGGGCTGAGGCCTGCAAGGACCACCCTGGGGCACGGTGGGCTGAGGCCATGCTGGCCCCCCTGGCCCTCTACAGCCACGCGTACCACCGGTACCCCCTGCCCCTCCCGGGGATGGAGACCCAGCGCCCCGGCACCACCGGCAAACCCCACGGCGCCGCGGGGGACGGGGCCGGTGACCCCCCGACTTTCCACCACTGCCCATTCCTGGTGGAAGCCAAGCACAGCCCCTTCCTCCTGTCCTCCCTGCTGCCCACCGGACCCCCAAGCGACCCCCAGTTTGGCGGCGGGGGGGCAGAAGGACCAGGGACCATGGGTGATGGGCGCTTGGCCGGCGTGGACTGGCGTCTGGGCTCCTACGTGCCCGCGTGGGGCCAGCCCATCTACTTGGGGGTCCCACCGAGGTGCAAAGTGACTCTGTCCCCCTTCGAGGACTGCTCCGGCTCAGGGAACAAGGTAGGTGACCCCGGGGGGGCTCCCATGGTGGCATCCAGGGATGCTCAGGGCTTGGATCCCCTGGGTGATGGTGGCCTTCAGCCTTGGCTGAACCTGCTTGGGAGTGGTGGGTTGTGAAAGGAGATGTTGGCACCGGCACCGGGCATCGGTGACCCCCCCCCCGAGGGGGATACAGCCCCACAGCTCGGTGGGGGGGTTGTCCCAGCTCCCCCCAAAGGGATGGATGGATGGAAGGATGGATGGATGGATGGATGGAAGGATGGAAGGATGGATGGATGGATGGATGGATGGATGGATGGATGGATGGATGGGTGGAAGGATGGATGGATGGATGGATGGGTGGAAGGATGGATGGGTGGAAGGATGGGTGGAAGGATGGGTGGAAGGATGAATGGGTGGATGGATGGATGAATGGATGGATGGGTGGGTGGAAGGATGGGTGGAAGGATGGATGGATGGATGGGTGGGTGGAAGGATGGATGGATGGATGGATGGATGGATGGATGGATGGATGGATGGATGGATGGATGGATGAGGCAATGCACCCGTGGCGGCAGCGGGGCGGGAGGAGGGAGGAGGATGATGATGGTCTCCTCCCCATAGCATGATGCAAACCCCTGGGGCTGAGTCACGGTGGCAGGGAGGAGGAGGAGGAGGAGGCAGCCCGTGGGTGCGCCCCGTCACGCCCCACACCACTGCGGCTCCCCATTCCTTTCCCACGCGGGCAGGGGCCACAGGGGCACCCCACGGGCTCGCTCATGTGGGGCTGGAAAGCCCTGGGCAACCACCCAGCTCAGGAAGGCATGTGTGTGTGTGGGGGGGGTGGGGAAACTGAGGCAGAGCCACGGGATGCTCCCCATCACCACCTCCCAGCCATGTGGGTGATGGGGACAGGAACAGGGACCCACATCTGGGGTGTCACCAGCCTTGATGCCCCCCCCTTCCCTTCCCTCTGCTCCCCTCCAGGAGTTTTACCCCAAGAAAGAACCCGGCTTCCACCCCCCGGCCAAGGACCAAGCGCCGTCGCAGATGCTGGGCAAGGGCCAGGCTGGGCAGGATGGAGATGGGGAAGGAGGGGAACCGGACCTTCCTGGAGCCCCGTGGAGGGATGGCCGAGCGGGGGGCAGCTCGGTGGTGCCCACTCCCCGTGCCCGCACGCCTCCCCCCATCGCCAGCCACCCCCTCTTCCTCCTGCAGCCTGGCACGGCGGGGGGCTGCGGGGGTCCCTGGGTGGGCACACGGGCTCACGCCGCTGATTTCCCCCCGGAGCTGGGTTCAGGCCACCCCCCCGAGCCCAAAGAGCTGGAATACCAAAGCCTTGGAGGAACTGGGGAGCCCGACCCATCATCTCCTCTCACGGATGGGCACTACCCACCAGCCCTCGCCAAGCCAGAGCAGCCCCCCGCTTGTCTCTGCCCCACGCCGGGCTGCGATGGGTGCCCGGGGGTGGGCTGTGGGGTGCTGGGCCCCTTCGAGCCCACCCTGGGCATCCCTGGGGGGCATTTCTCCTGCCCACCCAGCAACCACACCAAGCTGAAGAAGACCTGGTTGACGCGGCACTCGGAGCAGTCGCTGCCACGCTGCAAGGCTGCCCGCAGGGACGGTGGCCCCGAGGTGGCCAACGAGGGCAAGCGCCCGGGCAAACGCCCCCACGGCACCACCGACGGACCCTGGGCCACCAGCGAGGGAGCTGGGGCCACCAAACGGGTCACCAAGGCCACCGTGGCTACGGCACGGCCGGGTGGTGGCACGGAGAGCGGAGGGGACGCGGAGGAGAGGAGGATGGAGCTGGGAGAGGGAGGTAAGGACGGTGGGGAGGGGGTTGGGGGGTACACGGTGGGTGTAAAGAGAGGGTGGGGGCAGCACCCCATCTCCGGGGAGGTTGGGCATCCCAGTTCCTGGCACCCACAAACACCCAACACGAGCTGGGAACACGTGAGGGCTGGAAACCTGCTCTGCTGGGGGTATTTTTTTTTTATTCCCTGGCACGGCCGGGTCTGGCAGCGATTCCCAGGGCGGGGATTTGGGGGAAAAAAACCCAAAACACCCCTTTGGAGCAGCAGCATCCTCAGGTGGGATGCCCTCGGGGGTGGCAACCACCCCGGCCGGGTCCCCTCGGGGGGGAAGGTGCTGCCATCCCAGCCCTTCATCTCCAGCCCTACTTTCCAGCCCTACTTTCTGTCCCAGTTTCCCCAGTCCCCGCTGCGATGTCCCAGTCCCTCCCGCCTGCCGTGTCCCCACGGCCACCCCGTCCCAAAGCACCTTCCTGTGCCCCACAGACCCACTGAAACGAGCCCAACTGGACCCACGGGAGCCGTGGTGCCTGCAGAGCGTGCCCTGCGTCACCCTGCCTGAGAGCATCCCCCGGTGCTGTGCCTGCGCTGCCCGGGCACCGGGGGAACCCCAGGGTGAGGAAGAGGAGGAGGAGGAAGAGCCCCCCGAGAGCACTTGCCGGCTGCTGCACTTCCGCAGGTGAGCTCGGGGCTCCGGGGGAACCTACAGTCCTGCCTGTCACCCCATTTTTGGGCATCCTCTTGTCACCCCGCTTTTGAGCATCCCTTCCTGTCACCCCACCTTTGGGCATCTTCTCTTGTCACCTCATTTTAGAGCAGCCCCTCCTGTCACCCCACTTTTGAGCATCCTCTTGCCACCTCACTTTTGAATATCCCCTCCTGGCACCCTGCTTTAGAGCATCCTCTCCCATCACCCCCCTTTTGAGCATCCCTTCCTGTCACCCCACTTTAGAGCATGCCTTCCTGTCACCCCACCTTTGGGCATCTTCTCTTGTCACCCCACTTTTGAGCACCCTCTCTCATTACCCCACTTTTGAGCACCCTCTTCTGTCACCCCACTTTTGAGCATCCTGTTGTCACCTCACTTATGGATATCCCTTTCTGTCACCCCACTTTTGAGCATCCTCTCCTGTCACCCCACTTTTGGGCATCCTCTCTCATCACCCTACTTTAGAGCATCCTCTCCTGTCACCCCACTTTTGAGCATCCTCTTGTTACCTCACTTTAGAGCATCCCCTCCTATCACCCCACTTTTGGGCATCCTCTCCTATCACCCCGCTTTAGAGCATCCCCTCCTATCACCCCACTTTTGAGCATCCTCTCCCATCACCTTGCTTTAGAGCATCCCCTCCTGTCACCCCACTTTTGGGCATCCTCTCTCATCACCCCACTTTTGAGCATCCTCTCCTGTCACCCCACTTTCAATCATCCCCTCCCACCCCCTCTCTCCCTCAGGTTTGCCTTTGGGGACGGTGGGGAGCTGAACATGGATGGTTTCTGCACCGTGGGGGAGGCGGATGGGGACGCTGCGCTGCGGCTGGAGGGGCCCGGTGCCCAGCGAGGGGGCAGGGGTGCGGGGAGCAGCCTCTGCCTGGCCAAATACCTGCTGGGGGTCCTGGGGGACCCCTTCTGCGAGGCCGTCCGGAGGGACAGGGACGTGTGGCCGGGAGCCCCCGGCGGGCCCGAGGGTAAGTAAGTGGGGACCGGGATTTGGGGGGGTGACACTGGTGGCACTGGGGATGCTGAGGGCTTGTGTTTTCCCCCCCCAGGGGTGACGGCGTGGAGGGCATCCTCTCCTGTCACCCCACTTTCAATCATCCCCTCCCACCCCCTCTCTCCCTCAGGTTTGCCTTTGGGGACGGTGGGGAGCTGAACATGGATGGTTTCTGCACCGTGGGGGAGGCGGATGGGGACGCTGCGCTGCGGCTGGAGGGGCCCGGTGCCCAGCGAGGGGGCAGGGGTGCGGGGAGCAGCCTCTGCCTGGCCAAATACCTGCTGGGGGTCCTGGGGGACCCCTTCTGCGAGGCCGTCCGGAGGGACAGGGACGTGTGGCCGGGAGCCCCCGGCGGGCCCGAGGGTAAGTAAGTGGGGACCGGGATTTGGGGGGGTGACACTGGTGGCACTGGGGAGGCTGAGGGCTGTGTTTTTCCCCCCTCCCCCAGGGGTGACGGCGTGGAGGAGGGGGGAAGGAGCCCCCCAACTCTGTGATTCCTGCCGGAGGGGCTTCTTCAACTCCCACTGGAGCTGCCCCAGATGTGGCTTCCAGCTGTGCCCCGACTGCCACCGCAGCAGGCAGGAGGCTGATGGCCACGGTACGAATTTTAGAGCAGCCCCTCCTGTGACCTCACTTTTGAGCATCCTCTTGTCACCTCACTTTTGAATATCCCTTCCTGTGACCCCACTTTTGGGCATCCTCTCTTGTCACCTCACTTATGGATATCCCTTTCTGTCACCCCCCTTTTGGGCATCCTCTCTTGTCACCTCACTTATGGATATCCCTTTCTGTCACCCCCCTTTTGGGCATCCTCTCTTGTCACCTCACTTATGGATATCCCTTTCTGTCACCCCCCTTTTGGGCATCCTCTCTTGTCACCTCACTTATGGATATCCCTTTCTGTCACCCCCCTTTTGGGCATCCTCTCTTGTCACCTCACTTATGGATATCCCTTTCTGTCACCCCCCTTTTGGGCATCCTCTCTTGTCACCTCACTTTTGAATATCCCTTCCTGTGACCCCACTTTTGGGCATCCTCTCTTGTCACCTCACTTATGGATATCCCTTTCTGTCACCCCACTTTTGAGCATCCTCTCCCATCACCCCACTTTTGGGCATCCTCTCCCATCACCCCGCTTTAGAGCATCCTCTCCTGTCACCCCACTTTTGAGCATCCCTTCCTGTCACCCCACCTTTGGGCATCCTCTTGTCACCTCATTTTAGAGCAGCCCCTCCTGTGACCTCACTTTTGAGCATCCTCTTGTCACCTCACTTTTGAATATCCCCTCCTGTCACCCTGCTTTAGAGCATCCTCTCCCATCACCCCACTTTAGAGCATCCCTTCCTGTCACCCCACTTTTGAGCATCCTGTTGTCACCTCACTTATGGATATCCTTTTCTGTCACCCCACTTTTGAGCATCCTCTCCCATCACTCTGCTTTAGAGAATCCTCTCCTGTCACCCCACTTTTGAGCATCCTCTCCCATCACCCCACTTTTGAGCATCCTCTTGTTACCTCACTTTTGAATATCCCCTCCTGTGACCCCAATTTTGGGCATCTTCTCTTGTCACCTCACTTATGGATATCCCTTTCCGTCACCCCACTTTTGAGCATCCTCTCTCATCACCCCACTTTTGGACATCCTCTCCCATCACCCCGCTTTAGAGCATCCCCTCCTGTCACTCCACTTTAGAGCATCCCCTCCTGTCACCCCACTTTTGAGCATCCTGTTGTCACCTCACTTATGGATATCCTTTTCTGTCACCCCACTTATGAGCATCCTCTCCCATCACTCTGCTTTAGAGAATCCTCTCCTGTCACCCCACTTTTGAGCATCCTCTCCCATCACCCCCCTTTTGAGCATCCCTTCCTGTCACCCCACTTTTGAGCATCCCTTCCTGTCACCCCACCTTTGGGCATCCTCTTGTCACCTCACTTTTGAATATCCCTTCCTGTGACCCCACTTTTGGGCATCCTCTCTTGTCACCTCACTTATGGATATCCCTTTCTGTCACCCCACTTTTGAGCATCCTGTTGTCACCTCACTTATGGATATCCCTTTCTGTCACCCCACTTTTGAGCATCCTCTCCTGTCACCCTGCTTTAGAGCATCCTCTCCTGTCACCCCACTTTTGAGCATCCCTTCCTGTCACCCCACTTTTGGGCATCCTCTCTCATCACCCCACTTTTGAGCATCCTCTTGTTACCTCACTTTAGAGCATCCCCTCCTATCACCCCACTTTTGGGCATCCTCTCCTATCACCCCGCTTTAGAGCATCCTCTCCTGTCACCCCACTTTTGGGCATCCTCTCTCATCACCCTACTTTAGAGCATCCTCTCCTGTCCCCCCACTTTTGAGCATCCTCTTGTTACCTCACTTTAGAGCATCCCCTCCTATCACCCCACTTTTGGGCATCCTCTCCTATCACCCCGCTTTAGAGCATCCTCTCCTGTCACCCCACTTTTGAGCATCCTGTTGTCACCTCGCCTATGGATATCCCTTTCTGTCACCCCACTTTTGAGCATCCTCTCCTGTCACCCCACTTTTGGGCATCCTCTCTCATCACCCTACTTTAGAGCATCCTCTCCTGTCACCCCACTTTTGAGCATCCTCTTGTTACCTCACTTTAGAGCATCCCCTCCTATCACCCCACTTTTGGGCATCCTCTCCTATCACCCCGCTTTAGAGCATCCCCTCCTATCACCCCACTTTTGAGCATCCTCTCCCATCACCATGCTTTAGAACATC